TGGTCCTCATAAATTCTGATGTTGGGGCCAGCAAAAAATGTAAACTACCATTAGTGTGATGCTTGTCAGAGTTTTGTTATCTGTAACCCCCCTTTGTGTAACTTTCTGGGCTATAAAGCTGGGCTGTAGGAAAGGTGGGGTGGCTGTCTTGTTCCCGCCATTTTGGGAGGGAGAGGCAGCCCGGCCGGTCGAAATAATAAGCTTGCTTTAATTTGATTTTAATTGGAGTCAATGGTCTTTTCTTGCGTCCTGGTCTAACAATGATGAAATTACTGCATGTGCCAAAAGGGCGTGGAGAGAGCTACCTAATCAGGATCAATCAACCTTGGATTTTAGTTCAATCAAACAGGGACACAGGAGCCATTTTCAGATTTCACAGCAGGTCTATACCAGGCAGCAAACAGACCAATAGGAGACTTGACTGCCTCTGAATTCCTAGTCAGGCAGCTAGCATTTAAAAATGCTAATAAAATTTGTCAGGAAATCCTCCGACCCCAATGGGAAAAGGGGACTGACTGAGTTCATTCGCCTTTGTGATGATGTAGGTTCCACACAGCTACAGGGCTTAATGCTCGCCTAGGCTCTGAAGCAGGTGCTACAACTTCAGGCTGGGAGAGCCATTCTCCCAGGTGGTGTTTCAGTTGTGGTAGAACTGGGCCTATGGCTCAGGACTGCTGGTCTCCGCACAATAGGGCAGAGACTGAGCAACTGATATGACACCATTTTTGAGAAACCAGCCTCTACCTCAGAGCAAAGCCTGTCCAAGGAAGGGGGCGTGACCCTTGTCCTTGGAAAAATCCAGAGAGCTCCTAGGCACATAACCACCCTGCTGAGTTGTTTATCTACAAATAAAGGGGGATATCTGCTGCACCAGGTGTCCCTGACTCAGTTAGGCTAGGTGAGGACCCATAGAAACCCCCTGGCAACAACCAATCAGCATGAGACAGGGAAAATACCTGGGATGCCAGATGACCCTCCCAGTAGTTTATGGTGGTTAATAACACATTGGGAAACCATGTAGTTCAGCACGTACACCCCTAATAGCCTAAACCAATCAGTTCAAACAAATCCTCCTCTTGTACTAACCAATCAACTCTACCCAACTTGTTCCCAGCAGTGAATGTGCTAATCATGTTTTAGAGTTGTTGTATGATTTTCCCGCAGTGTGTGATGATTTGCTAAGAGTTGCTATGATGTATGTGAAGTCCCTGCCTTCCCCAAAGAGTGTATAAAACTGCTGCAAACCCTGGGCTCAGGGCCTCTCAGCATCGCCAGTTGCTGTGTGCGCAGGGGACTGAGCTAGCTCACAATAAATGCCTCTTTGCTGCTAACATCAATCTTGGTCTCTGGTGGTCTTTTGGGGGTCCTGAACTCGAGCATAACAAGACCTCTCTTGGTTTGTGCAGACAGTGCTTCCAGAGAGATGATCACATAGCATGGGAAGATTTGAGTAGATATGGCAGCAGCTCACAGCCACTTCTGACCTCACTTCTGCCTTCTTCAGCATGGGGAAATCGGGAACAGGGCCTGCCCTAGGTCTACCAAACAGTAGGGGTGCTGCAGTGTACACCTGAAGAGGAGTTGCAGACTCCAAAGTCATCAGGGCTGGCCATGCCAGTTCGACACTACTACCAGCTGGCTCCACAGAGAGGGTACACTTACAGCCAACCTTGGGAGTAACTCTAATGCCTGAAATGGGGCCACAACAAGAGCTCACTGGGTTTGTGGGCCATTACTGCCAAATACCATAGGCCTAATTTTAGGGTGAAACAACTTAAGGGAATTCAGGTGCTGCCAGGAGTAATTAATTCAAATTTTAGAGATGAGATTGGGATCACTGTACAAGTGGACCCTGCCACTCAGCTCTCTACAAGAGATGTACTAACACAGCTAATACTTCTGCTTTATCACACCCACCAACTTGGAGGGAATAGATCAGATCTCTCAGCCTGCAGAAAGTGCTCAGTATCTTCACAGGGAAGATAAAGATGGTAACTCTGGGATTTTCAAGACTTATGTCTTAGATACCTTGCCAGTAAATTTGTGGGGCCATGATAGTCTAAGCAGCCTAGGTTTGTTATTAGTAACTCCAAATTCTGTCATCTGAGGGATTTAATCAAAAGTTTATTTCTAGAAAAATGGAGGGAAATTTACAAGATTTCCCTATAACCCAAACTTCCCAACAGATTTTTATTACTACATGCAGCCAGAATTTTTGGTAGGGGCCCTGACTTTATCCCCAACCCAGAGAAGAGCAGAAAAAAATACTTGGCTCACAGAAGAGCCAATCTGGGTTAGTCAGTGGCCCTTAACAGGAAACAACTTGAAATAGCCCACATGCTAGTTCAGGAACTGCTTCAGGCTGGCCATTCACAACCTATTCTCAGTCCTTGGAACACACCCATCTTTGTAATCAAGAAAAAAATCTGGCCACTGGAGATTAGTACAAGATCTCAAGGCAGTTAATTGTGTTAATGAGCCCACAGAAGCCTTATAACCAGGGCTTCCTTCTACAGCTATTCCTTTGGGTTATCATTTAATAGTACTAGATTTAAAAGATTGTTTCTTTTCTATACCTTTACACCCAGAGGACTGTAAAAGGTTTGCCTTTAGTGTCCTGGCAATAAATTTTAAAGAACTAGTCAAAAGATATTGTTGCCTTAGGGAATGTGTAACAGCCCTACTCTGTGTCAAAATTTGTGGCACAGGCCATCATGCTTGTGAGGGAGAAATTCCCTGATGCATATATTATTCACTTTATGGATGATATATGTTTAGCTCATGCTAATCCAGATGTACTCCTAAAAATCTTTACCCAAACAGACTTCACTCACAGCAATGGGTTTGTGCATTTCACCTCAGAAGGTACAAAGGACATCTCTTTTCAATATCTAGGTCATGTGATTGAAGGACATACAATCCACCCTCAAACCTCACAAATAAGAGTCAAAGAGCTGAACACCCTTAATGATTTTCAAAACTATTAGGTGATATAAATTGGCTGAGACCATCTTTAAAGCTAACTACTTCAGATTGGTATCAGAGTTTTACTGACAACATAGGATGAGTATGTAAGTGTTACCTCTCTATTTCTTGTAATTTTGAGTTGAATTCACACTAGTTTTTCCTTAAAGATCTATTAGAATTCAGCTGTGAAACCAATCTGGTCCTAGACCTTTTTTAAAAAAAAAATGGGTAGGGAGGGAGAGCATGGGAGGAAGGTTACCTCTAGATAGGGAATAAGGGTGGGAGGGAAAGGGAGGGAGAAGGGGAATAGCATGAATAGTGAAAGAAGACCCTCATTATTATACAAAATACATGTATGAAGATGTGAATTTGGTGCACTCTGCTCCTCAGAGAATCAGGCTCCACTTCAGGGACCTTCTTGGCCCTATGACTGCTCAGGGGGGAGATCAGGGGCACTCCTACTAATGGACATGAAATGCATCATAGGCATGCCTTTTTCTGGTCCAGTCATGGCTCTGGCACCCGGGTGTTCTGCACACCTTCCTTTTAGACCCTAGTATGTGTGAGGTGGGCCCAGAACAAAGTACTCCTGAGTGCACACTGTGGAGCCGATACCATTCCTTCATCCTCTGCATTGTCCAGACTAATCCCCCCACCTCTCCACCCCTTCCTTCCCTTTCTAAATGGGCATCACTTGGTGAAGCTTGCTCACAGCAGGTGGGAGAAGCAACTCCTACACTAGTTGGGGGGCCCAGGACAGACCCCTGTATATATGGCACTCTGCAAAAATCAGGAGTGGAACCAGGAAATGTACAGGAAAGCCTACCCTGAGGGAAAAATCAAATCTGAATATGGAATGCATCTCAAGAGCTACCTTGCCCAGACATCAGTGTTCACACATCTCCATTCTTTCAGGCTCCAAACTCAAATTGAGGAGCTCCATGTTTCTCCTCCCTGTTTCCCTGTGAAATCACCTGCCTGTGATCAGAATCCACATCACCCCACACTCTGTCTCTGAATAGGGACAGCCATGTCAGTGCCATCGGGAGAAGGGAGTGTTCAGTTGATAAATCTTGGCTAAAATGCCACAGAGTCATTCTGGACCCTGGACACACATGTTCCCAGACATAGGACAAGAGCTCCTTCCACCAGCTGCAGTGGTTCCACACTGCTCACAGTTAGGAGCACCCAGAGAGAGAGTTGAGAAGCCCCAATGTTCATGCCTTCAAATCACAAGTGAGTTCTTTGATCTGGGAACAATTTCACCCATTTATTATGGTAGTATGGGAAATCCAGTGATATCCTGAACTACAACAAATGAATGATCTTAATTGCCACGTGGACATCACCTGAGACATTTGGGTTGTCCAAGTCATTACAATTGAGCACCAGGACACAATGAATGCAGTTTGCAGGAGAGACAAGGTACAAAGGCACATGCCTATTGAGCACTCCAAGGATGCACACAGTAAAACATGGGGAAAATTGGATGAGGATTCAGAGAAACGTCAAGTACATGATTATCATAAGGGGCAAGGAACAAAAAAGGTAAGGCCAGGGAAATTGTCCACCATGCTTTCCATGGCCACACTCGAGAGTCAAGAAGGTACACTGCAGTCCAGGACAGAGGTCCCAGTGATCAGCAGGTGTTACACTCCATGCAGTCATAGGACAAAAGGGACAAACTTGAGCCTTCTACTTCTGTTCCACTTCAGTCTCTACACCTGAATAGCCACTCCATTTGTTATCCCATAGACAGCCTGTGGAAGGTGACATGAGCACCTTGGACAATCCCCTGGAAACCCCATCCAGAGGAGTCTCTCCTCTGAGTTCTGGACAGGTGGCTGTGTGTCAGAGGCAGGGTCTGTGGCTGTGCCAGAGCTTTCTGAAGTTTCAGCCTTTGCTCCTACTCCATAGCTAGGAAGGTCCTGTGACCCTGGTGCCACCTGCTCCTGCATCTTTGCTTTCTCAGCCCAAGAGACCCTGTAAGTCATTGGAGCCCCAAAGGCTATTCTTCCCTGCTATGGTGTGCCTCACTCCATGTCACTGTCCTCAGAGGAGGACGACACCTGAAGGTCTTCATAGAGGACACTCACTGGCTCATGGGAGCTGGGAATCTCCGACTCATCAAGATAGGGAGGAGTGTCAGCAAGAGCACTGGTCTTTGCAGTGGGAGAGGAAGGGAGATCGGCAATGAACCTGGATCTCCACCAGTTCTTGTGCATTCTCTTGAAGAGCATTCGGAGGGGCTGTCGGGGAACACAGCTGGGTGCTGGTGGACTCGATTTGGTGCACGGCTCGACTGGATTCAGGAAAGGGCTTTCCTTGGGAGGGCGAAGATCCATGCTGGAATCATGGGCTGGAGATTTTCTGGTCACCTGGGGTGACCCTTTTAGTCCGATACCACTTGTATCTTGCCAAGCAGGCAGAGACTTCCTAGCCTCCGAGCCTGGCCTGCAGGTGTTCCCCCGTGGAATGAGACTGTGCCCCAGCCTGAGTTTCTTTGGGGCGTTCTGGCCAGTCTGGATGTGGACCTGAGCTTGTCTCTTGCCTGGGGCCTGGAGGCTGAGTTTGTGGCCCTGGCCCTGTGGACATGCTGCAGGCTGCAGGCAGGGCTCTTTGCTCACATCAGGACACCTGGCTAGTGATGGAGGGTGGAGCACATGGCCCCCTCCGAGAATTTGGGCAGAAGTCTGGGCAACTTTAGAGGAGACAACCTCTGGTGTTTCAGGTGCTTTCTTCCCAAGGAGGCCAGGGTTCTGCCCTGAGTGCCTTGCTGCCAGCTGGATGGTGCCAGGAATGCTCACATCCTGTTTTTTCTGGATCCCGGGACCTGAGTGGAGTCCACATTTGGGTCTCTGAAAGGGATGTGCGCTAGTGAAGGTGAGACTCTCATCCGAGCTCTGGACACAAGGTTGACTCTCAAACCCAGAGCCCAGGACACACCTCGTCCTGGTCGTGTGGACGGGCAGTGGCCTGCTGGGTTTCTGGAGGAAAAGACAAACACAGGAAACTTTCCTGAGTCCCTGCACTCAAGCACCAACAAGGCCCACCTAAACAGGAATTCGGCTACAGAACATAGAGTGGAACAGGAAGACAAGTCATCAGCCCAGGAAAGGAAAAGGGGTGCTCCACCTCCACCTCCATGGCCATCAGCCAAAGACCCATTCCAAGAACGACTTGACATGTTTCAGGGCACATTGGGAAATATCCCGTTCTTCATCGGAGGTCTCATGCCTCGAGATGGGCAGGGCTCTTTTGTGTGTTTTTCCGTGGGATGTCAATGGCTACTGCTCCTCTCAGCAGATGTGGCCACTGAGGAGTTGGCGTACATTAGCTGAGAGTGTTCTCCCACTTTCAATAGGAATATGCCTGCATCGGACATTGTGTCCTTTGAGACGTTGGAGTCAACTCTGCCCCCATGGGCCCATGCACCACGTCATGGGGAAGATGAAAAAAGTACCACACAAAATTGGAAAGAGCAAATGTGAAAGACCCCAAGCTTGAGTCCCATTGGGCTTAAATGTTGATAGCCAATCCCTCAGGCAGAAGGGCCACAGAGAAGGAACTTATCAGGCTTCTCCAGGACACCAAAAGAGCAGGCCACCATGCACATACTCACCCTTAGGTAGGCACTGGGTTCTGTCTCTTCCTTCCATTTGGGTTGCTGCCTCTCCTGGGGTCTCCTATGGGAACTCCCTGTCTGGAGTAGAGCCTTTCCCCGTTCCTCTTCTTGCCTGCAGAAACACGATGGTATTTGGATGAATGCAGAGGAGGGAGCGAAATGAGAGGTGCCCATTTTCTTCGTGTCACCTGTGCTACCCTGGGTTCTCCCCCAAGTCTGTGCCTCTCCTCCTACAACACCCAGGCCCTACATCCAGGCAGCCCTTCTCCTTTCCCACTAAGTAGTTCCATGTGGACACATTGCTTTTGTGCCTCCCGTGGTCATGTTCCTAGTGCTGCCCTGAACCTGTCCCTTTCTGAATTGAATGCACAGGAGAATGAGCTGCAGGCTGCGGCTTTGGGACATGGAGTCCTTGTCTATCTCTCTCCATTGACCCAGTCATTAGCTGCATGTGAATGTGTGGAGACGACTATGTGGAGAAGGAGAGACACCACCCCCCCTGGAGTTCCGTGCCCGAGGCTTGGATCCCAGCTTCCCCATCCCTCACCTCTGCACCTGGCCCTTCATTCTGGCTGGCTGCTCACAGGCCCCTGTGTTCTGGAGATTCCTAGGCTTGCTTGGTGCCTGGTTCTCCTTCTCCTTCTTTGGGCCCAAGGGTTGTGGGGCCAGCGCACCATCCCAGCACTTGATGGGGCATCTTCTGCTCCTCGCAGTGTGTCCAAAAGCCCCACAGTCCTTACACTTCAGCTGTCGGTGGAAAAGCACAAGTTGTCAGGAATCAGCGCAACCACAACCAGATCTGCCCTTGTACAGACAAAGAGAGATTGAAGTCTTAGTTTCCTCTCGTTTTAGGTCAGGCACTCAGGCCTGTGAACCATGAATTTCTAGGATTTTTAAGGTCCTAGAACACATTTGTGGAATCATGTATTATACGGGGGCACTGGAAGGAAGGTTTGGATGTTGCAACTTGAGGACGCTGGGCCAGATTCCAACAGGATAAACGTTGGGCTGCATGGGTTTCAAGGGGTTCCATAAGATGCCTCCTCCCATCCTAGGAAAGGACTAAGCTGAGAGGAGGTTCCCGGGCAGGTCCTCGTGGGTTGGAATGGGAGAATTGGGTGGTAGAGGCAATCTGAGAGGACGTAACCAAGATTCTGACCTGTGTCACCCCCTGGCTTCCCATTGCCTCTAATGTCCACATACCCTGGGGTCCTCCTCTTCAGGGGGAGGAGCCCTGTGCCCCACAGCTCCCCTCTGCTGGTGCTTCTTATTCTGGATTTGAAGGATGCTCGGGGCCAGAGGCTGTGAGGCATGCTCTGCCGACTGTCTCATGTTCTTCAAGTCAGGTCCCATTCCCTCAGATGCTGACATTGGGCTTTCCTAGGTCCAAGAGAAAAGAAAAAAGGGTCATGACCAAAGTCAAGATGGGATCTTTCATTTATTCTCCACATTTTGGCATGGAGCACATCCCATGATCTGGGGAGCCCAGTAGAATAGGTGGAGCACACATGGGTGCACAATCAAGGGAGGAGTAGGCCAACTACTGCGTTTGACAAAAATAAGATACTCCATGCTCTTAGAATTACAGCAGAGTGAATGCATGATTCCTGTAGGTACAATAAAGCAATCTTAACCAAAGGGAACCATTTTGCCTCTATCAAAATGATAACGAAAAGAGGAAAGGTGAAGGGAGGTAAACCTAGTTCATACAAAGAGAGATCAAAAGAAATTTCATCTTAATACAGAGATTTGCAGAGCATGATTATCCAGAGTTATTGTTGACAAAGTCAGAAGTCATGAGCTAGAAATGCTTGTAGATATCCAAGAATGTCCTTGCATATCTGACAGAAGCAGATCGACCTTGAAAAATATTTCCAAATTAATGATACAGAGAGCAAGCTCGGCATTGGTTCAGTGGTTATGAATGTAACCATATAGAGAAGCTGAGGACATGGGGGGTTCAATGTTGAATTTCACCCAACCCAGCCTTCAAAAAGTTCTAGAGAAAGGTTTCTTAAACTCTTCTACAGAAAGAAAGGGAAAAAAAATCATCCCCAAGGCATGGTGTGGGGTCACGATGATTCTCTACCATAACACGATATAAGAAAAACAGAGCAAGACAATGATAGGTATTGAGCGGCAGAGAAGAATGACATTATGACATTTTCCAAACAAGCTATGGATGGAACCAGTGTACATCCTGTGCTAGACATGCCAAACCAGTGTTTGTTGCTAGGTGTGGATACTAAGGGGAGAAGCTACCGTAAAGGGGGAAGGGGAAAGGCGAGAGGTGGGTGGGGGGAGGGAATGCAAGAGCAGGTCAGAAGAGAGGGGAAAATGGGTAGAGGAAGGCTGGGTGAGGATGACCCAGGACTTCTATGTGCCTGTGTGGAAATAGCACAGGGAATAACATTGCTCTATCCATCGGAGGTAGTCCCTATCCTACCCAAAGGTCCATGGTAAACTACAGCAGTTTTCATACACATTGATCCACCTGCTCACAGGTATCAGAAGGCTGCAGTAAATATTCTCTGAAATTGCAATAGTTCTGTGGTGATTTGAACCTCGAATGGCATATTTGATCCTCCTCAGCATAAAGAAACACTCTTGAAAAATCTTAAATCCACAAGCACCTCCCCCTCCATCCTTAACATTTTCCCTATCTACATGACTTTTAAGGAATCTTCTGTAAACTACCTGGGCAAAGAAAACCAACCTGAGACCCCACTGTTCTGATGTCTCCTGTCAGCAGGCGCTCAGACAGGTGAGGGCTGGACACAGAACCCAGGAAGAGATGCAGCCTCCTGGATGCCAGCCGGAAGGGGCAGTGAGGGAAGGTGGCTTCTGGGAACTTGGATCCTCCCCCAGGATCACGTGATGCAACACGTCATCTTCAATACAACAGGTGCAATTTTAGGCCAAAATTCAGTGACTCGCACCTTTGATTTCCATGACTCTACCCAGGAAGAAGATTTGCCAGCCTTTTCGAGTCAGTACTTTCCTTTACAGAGGTTTGAAATCCATAGTTTGAATGACATTGAGGTGCTGGGAAGAGGTCAGAGGCCAGTTGACCTAAGGGCCTTGTCGTTTTTACAAGTTTGGCTCTCTGGGGTATCAATTGTTTTTTTAACTCTGCCATTTTCACATAAGGATTCCAGAATTCAAAGAAAAGCTGCCCAATGCTTTCATACTTCATGTGACTTATATGAGCTCTGCATTGCATTGACTCTACACTTTCATTGGAAGAGTTTTTCTTTTTCTGCTGGGTTTGGAATGACATTTGTGGACATGCAAGTGCCCAGAATGACCACAGGGCTGAAGGAGAGCCTGCTGCTGAGGGCTGATGTCCCTGGTTTCTCATCCAAATCTGGTGGGCTTCTGAGCTCCCTTGGAGGAAAGGGGTGTTTCTGGCTTCAGCTCCCTGGCCCCACCCCCAGGGAATCCCCTCAGGCCCTCACCTGGGCCAATCCTGCAATGTTGCTGCAGAGGAGAAATACACCTGTGTAAGTCTCAAGGGTCCCAGACCAGCAGGATTTTCCAGCACTCTGCCAGGGCTCTTGTGTTGGTGTCGCTTCCTTTGTAGGTCACCATGGATTTTGTGCACACAGATTTGCACTTCTCAATACACAGGCCTATGGGTACACAGTTCAGAACACCTGGTACCTCAGTAGCTTTGCTCATCTCCAATATCACAGAAAAGTGAGTGCAGCCTCTACTCCACAGTCCCTTTAGAGGTTTTCCTTTTTTGTTGTTAAATATTTTTACTTGTTCATGGACCTTTTGTTTATGCATATGTATGTGCAGGGTTTAGAATCAAAACACACTCACTCATGGGTGGGAGGCCAAAGCTCTGCAACTGAGCAACAACCCCAGCCCCATCTTTTCATAGTTCTTGAAATAATGGGTAGAATCAATTCTAACCTAGCTACATTTTCCCAGTTCAAAACCATTATGAAAATCTATCAGGAAAGAAGTCAAAATAATGGAATTGAAGGAAGAATGAAAATGTTTGTTTTTCATGAATCGTTTTGAAGGAATACCAACTCAATGCATTGTTAGCCTGTAATATTAGTAGGCTCCATTCATAACTGAAAGTATATATGAACACACAGGCACATGCATAGGAATAGGCTCGTGAACATGTCCACAAACACACTCACGCACACACAAACACCCCCACCCCACCCCCACAAACACTTGCGCACACATAAGCAGCTAGAATTCTTTTTTTGGAATTATTATTTTTTAGTTTGTTTGGTGAGAGGAGATCCAAGTGCATCCCATTACCGCTTGCCTGCTGCCCTACTTGAAAGTTTATGAAGCAACTGGACCTCCCTAAATATACTTGAACCATCCTTGTAATGAATCTGCTTCATTACTTCTGGTGTTCACAAAAGTCTTTGGAGAACAGGCCCCCTTCAGCACTCCAGGCTGTGAACTGGCCACACCCAAATCTTTCTCATCTCCTTAAGTTCTCAGAAGGTATGGTGTATCTGACACCAAGGGAGTGGGTTTGCTGGGTCAACTACTGATCACGTGAGTATATGGAAAATTCCCTCTTTGGAAACCATCTCAGAAGGGGAAGTGTCTCTCTTCCACTTGAGGTCAGGCAGGAAATTCCACTAGTCTTTGATGGTGGAGACGAGGAAGCCGCTTCCCTCCACAGGTGAGAGCAGTCTCCTGAGGATGACCTTACTTAGCCCAATTCTTCTCCATTAAATGCAGCTGATGCTCAAGTCCTCTTGGGTTCTTCTCTACATGCAAGTTCCAAAGAGTGACCCTGGGCACATGGACACTTAACATGTATCAGTTTCTTTCAATCCACTTTGGGCTGCTAGAGAGAAACTGTCTGCCTGGAAGAGTCTTTCTATGGGTGGCTGTGGGCTGTGGAATATGGGAAACACCTGCTAGGTGAATGCAGCTCTGCTCAGTCTGAGACCCAGAGCCCCTCAGTCAATGAAGGAGAGAACAGAATGCATCCTAGTCAAGGCTAAAGGAAAGTGTTTGTGTCTATGGACCCAATCCAGTGCCTCCAAAGGTCCCCATTTGGGAAACCCAATGGTTATAGGTTGGAACCCTTCCCAGGGAGAAGGGGGAGTTGACTCAGGACCCATGGTATTCTTGGCATGCAGGATAGAAGAGAATCCCCACAGGACACAGTTGAGCACATACACAGAGGTTAGGTTAAGATAAATAATGCTGAGAGCGGTGGAAGGTGGCAGCCAATGCAGGCCGGGATGCATGATATGGCCAGGCTGGTGGAGAGCACGGGTCCTGTGGGCTTGCATCCCACTCAGCATGCAGATCGATGAATAGGACAGCACAGGAAGGCTCCAGAGCCAACACGTGTGCTGGAGTCAAATTGTTGTTCAACTTTGCATTGGCCCAAATGACACTGATGACTCTGCAAGTAGAGGAGAGCCCAGGTAGACTTGAGTGTCAGGGGTATTGGATGAAAACTTTTGCAGTTCCTAATGTCATCCACCTGAGACGGGTCTTTCTAGTGGATGAAAGCTGCCTCCGTGCGTGGAGGATCAAGGAGCACAAGGGACTCCTGCTGGGAGCTCAGAAGAAAGAGAGACATTCTCTGAGAAGGTTTCCATAGGACAGGCTTCCTCATCTCCTCATCCTGCAGGGAGTCCACCCACCTCCCCCTCTCTCTCCATGTCAGATCCACCAATCACTTCTCAGAAATTCATGGACTAGCTGGATTAGGAAACTTTGGGCATTTCCATTCAATATGACACAGAGCTTTTTTGTGTTCTTTTTACAGTTTCTATTTGTGGAAACACAAGGATCATGGAAGCATTTTTCATTTTCAGAATGTTTGATTACCACAGGTTTATTTTTCAAACCTATGCTTTCACAGTTTACCAATATGTCTTGGCTGTTTTTCATGAAAGATTGTCCTCAAGGTTTTGAATTGGAAAGATAGGAGTTAGTGTGGACTCTACCTGCCTTTGGCATAAATATGAAAGGAGTCAGAAAGTAAGGGTTGCATTATGTTTTCTTTTACCTTTGAGATAAGTGTGCCTAGAATACTCAGGTCCCTCTTGGGATGAGCCTTGTCCCCTCATAGAGAGATCTCTGAAGTACAAATCTCTGATTCTGAATTTCTTGGTGACCCAGAAAGAGAGGGAAGACAAAGATCAGGACTGGTACAGGAAATGCTGAGAGTCCAGAAACAATGGGATCAGACACAGACACTGGCTCTGAATGACAGAGGTTTCATTTGGGATTTCTATTGGGACTTTTCAAATGGGCACATGTAGTTTTTTATTTTGTGCAGATAATAAAAAAGGGAGTGGGTATGCTGGTGTATATATGGAACTGTAATGTCAGTAGGAGGCTCAACTGTCAGTCTGTTGTCCTGTGACTGAATTGGGCAACACTGGCTGATTGCTGGGACCTCTTTTCTGGCCTGCAATGGGCATTCTTGACTGTAGAATGTGATGGTGGAAAACATTGTGGACACTTTCCTTGTCCTGTCACAATGAATGATCTTATCTTCAAAGAAAAGTGAAGAGTGGGACAAAATTCCTCCTGTATTTTCATCTTTCCTTCAATAACTAAGCATATTTTAAGTGTTCTCTTACCATTGTGTTTGACTTAGTGGGGAAAATACTAATGCATGTGGGAATTACATATCCTGAGAGATCCTTGTCTTCATTTTCTACTTTCAAGATAGTCCTGATTTTTGTCTGCCCAGGCTTGCTTTTCCATTTAATTTTTGTACGAGGATCAGAAATGTTCATGACCTTTGATTTCTAGGGTCTTTTTTCAGGACTGCAGTTTTCTTTCATCTGGCCCATCTGCTCCATTGAAGTGCCCACTGGATAATTGCACACCCACAGGCAGGGACACACATCAACACTCTCATTCTCCTATCTTTCCAGAGACTTTTCCTATGACCAGAATTACAGGAAGGAAAGGTTTACATGAAGAACTTGAAGGGACATTCAGAGAAGACAGAAGACATAAAGACACACCCTTTACCCTCTCAGTGGTAAGTTCTGTGGATTTGAATAGTGGTGACAGAGATGGAAGACATGGCCATGGTTTAATTAGAGTCTGAACACATCTGCCTGCCTCAAGGCCTCAGCAAAATCTCTGGATAGTTTGAATTTACTGAAACCTTTAAACGTGTTCAAACGAACACATTACATCTTAAAAATATACTTCAGTTCATGAGCTCTAGCATGAAATTGTGCAACCCAGCTGCCTCCCACTCTAGTTCATGAGACTGTCACACTAAAATGTTAACACCCCTCACCAGTGGGCAGCTGTCTCTCCCTCTGGAGAGGCCACATTCTCCCTTCAGTCCCTATTGCTTCCTTCACCACAATGCATCTCTATATAAATCCCTGTCTATGACTTTAAGTGGGGCATGTGGAAATTCTATTCTGTCATGAATGCTAAGAACCCCATGCATCCTGAGTCAAGGTCCTTCTTCCTGGGAAAGTTTCAGACCTGTAACTTCTTGGTGTCCCTAATGGGGACCTTTGGAGGCACTGAATTTGGTCAATTTACACAAGTACTTTCTTTTGGCCTGACTAGGATGCATTCTGTTCTCTCCTGTACATAGAACCTCCTCCTCCACTTCCTTCATTGACTGAGGAGCTCTGTGGCTCAGACTGTGCAGAGCTGCACTCTCCCATATTCCACAGCCAGTGACAGAGATAGAATGACACTTCCAGGCAGACAGTTTCCCCTAGGAGCCTTCTGAGTCCCCAAAGGACATTTAAAGAAAGTGTTATTCAAGTGTGCATGTGCCCAAGGTTACACTGGTGACCCTGCAGGTAGAGAAGGACCCAAATTAACTTGAGCATCAGCTGGATTTCATGGAGAAGGTGTGGGGTAAACAATGTCATCCAATTGATACTGGTCTCCCCTGAGGAGGGAAGCTGCCTCCATGTCTCCACCATCAGTGACTCCAAGGATTCCCTGCCTGACCTCAAGAGGAAGAGACACACTTCTTCTGAGATGGTTTTCCAAGGACAGGATTTTTCATATCCTCAGTTGATCAGTATTCTAACCACCACACCCACTCACTTGGTGTCAGATCCACAATCCCTTCTAAGATTTTAATTGGATTAGAAAGCTTTAGGTGGGGCCAGTGCATTTTCTGGGGAATTTGGGTGTGTTCCTTCTGCAATTATTTTGGTGAAACACCTTAGGCATAGAAGCCAATGTCATTATCAGGATGGTTTAAGAATTTCCAGAGAAATCCAATCATTTAATACAATCCCAGACAGTGCTGCAAGGAGTCTGTGATGGAAAAACAGTTGAATTAGGTTTCCCAAAACAAGGAAAAGGAAGAACTCTACCAAAAAAAATTATACGTGTGTGTGTGTGTGTGTGTGTGTTTGCATATTCATATGTACTTTTAGTTCTGGACCTCCCATGCTAACAATGTATGCTAATAATATATTAGTGTTTGCATTCATTAAAAATAATCCATGAAAAGGAAATATTTTCATTTTTTCTTAATAAACTAAATTGTCTGTCTTTCCTGACAGATTTTTATGATATTTTTATATTGGGAAAAATACTTTATAATGATTTTTACCTTTTTAAAAAAATGAAAGGAATCTGGGAGTAGAGCTTGCATTCAGTTTCCTGTGACATTTAAGATAAGTGAGCATAAAATCCTCAGGCACCATGTGGTCTGAGCTCTGCACCCTCCCACCAGTGCTTTGAGCAGTACAAATCTCTGTGAGTGGAATTCTTGGAGACATGGGAAGCGAGGGACTCTAGCAGGAGAGGACTGGAAGAGTGCTGGGAACTACTGTTGGTCAGGGGCGGTGGACAGGGACACTGGCATGTTTCCCATTTGCCACACACTGAATGAGTTGGCCACTTGAGGGCCTGAGTGGACTCCCCTGGAGCAGGGCTGAACCAGAACCACACTTTGCTCCTGCAGTGGAACTCAGAAGCCCCCAGATTCTCATGGGAAACAGGGTCATCAGCCCTCAGCACCAGGATATCCTTCACCATGTGGAAATCCTGGGCCCTTCCATGTCCAGAAATGTGATTCCAAACTGTGGACAAAAGGAAAGATTTTTCAATATAAACAGGGATTCATATTCTCTTCATGATAAAAATAGTTCCAATAATAATCAAAGCATTAAAGCACTGTAGTTCATTTCTTTTAATTAAGGCATCATTAAATAAAATGGTAGGAAAGAAATCTTTGAGACCCCAGAGAGCAAAATTTGTGAAAACTCAAAGTCATTCAGGTCAACTGGCATGTGCAATCTACCCAGGGTCTCAAAATCATTCTAACTACTAATTTTAAACCTGTTTCTGAAAAATATTGGCTGAGAGAGATTGACACTGAAGTCAGGGAAGCAGCACGGTATCTAGAATACAATGATTCGCAAAAACGTATACTGAGAGAGTCATGTAGTGCAAAGGTGCGAGTGATTAGCAAGGAAGATGTGAAAGAAAGAAAAGAAGTTTAAATGTAAAACAACTAGAGTTGTATTCAATAGATTGCTCAACCTCAGGGTTGATTAAAAAACATAATTTATGGTGTCTACATTATGCAATTCATGCCATATTAGAAAATAAAATCATTCGTTAGGTGTTGTTAGTAATTTGTTAAATTGTTTCCTACATTTTATGAAGTGTCATTGGCTATTGTGATTTTGAGGGCATTCTTACTGTGGTTATAACCTATCGAGGCCTCTGTTGGCTGGTCTCTTCAGGTTTTCAAATGCTCTAATTTGTTGGAGCACACACTGGGAGGGACTCTGTTGCTTCTGTTGTGTGAGGGTATCCAATGTAATCAGAAAGGAAGTTCAATCTCCATTCCCTATTAGAGAGGAGAGAACCTGTCAATGCCATTGCCATCTCTATAGTGACATGTATTTAACATTTACTGCTGATCTCTATAACTGGGTTAACCAAAGAGAAAAGTGGTAAATAAATAAAATAGACTGGCTGAAGCCTGAAGCATGAGTCATACTGTGAGCACTACTCAACTGATTGGTAGAAGAGGGTTAAAAAGACAATTGCAAAGGAACCACGTGAGAAAGGGAAGGAGACAGCAGAAAGGGAGAGTGAAGCAGAAGGGTAGTTGAGGAAGCAGAGAAGCAAAGGAGTGGCTGAGTGAAAGTTCAGGTGATGGACAAGTTGTACTCAACACGACTTTTGAGCAAAAAACAATAGAACATTTCTAAGACACTGGAGAGAAAAGAAGCAGCATAACAAGAATCACAAAGAGATCTCTGTTTTCTCTTTGCTGAGGATTTTTAAATGAAGATGTTTCCATGATTTTCACTGTAACATCCCCTGGCAATGAGGGTGTTTGTAGCAGAAATCATCCTACCCATTGTTGCTAATTCACTTTGATCCAAACTGGACACAATTTTCAGGGGTCTTTCTTCTAAGCTCTGCCTGCTTTTACCTGAGAGTGAGTATGAAGGAGAATTTCCTGTTCAGAGCATAACTCACCCTCAGTGTGGCTCTGTTTTTCCATCTGCGGAAGGGAGTGTGGCTCTGGCAGCAGATACTGACCAGTCTTCTGTCCTGGACAGCCTGTGGGCCAAGGCAGATTGCAAGACTCAGGTGATTTCCATGGGCTGGAGAGGAGTTTGGGGATTGCCTTGAGATACTTCTGGTGTGTGGGAGCTGGGGCATCCTGAGCTAGAATTCTAAAGGTAGCACCTCACACAACCCCAACTAGACCCAGTTCTAAATGCCAACAACCTTGTTCCTTATCAAGCAGTTTGACCACCCCTTTGAAATGGAAGTGGCCATTGCTTCTCTCCACTCTGCAGACCTAAAGCCTGGTAGCCAAAGTTCCTATCACTGCCCAAATCTTCAGTAAAACTATGGCAGAGTCTCACTCCATGTCCAGATGGATTCATCATTTGTGCACAGTGAAAATCCAGGACACATGGCCTCTGTGTCTTGGGTACAAACAAAAGCAATCCATTACCAGAACCAGAATAATAATAAAATAACTGCAGGAATTTCTACTATGTTGAGCAGTAAGTCAACATGAAGAGTCTGGAAACTGGCAAGGCTTTCCCCATTTTCTCAATTTCCTGGGAAATGCTGATGGCTCTCCCAAAGTGATTCTTCTCAGTATGTGAACATCTTTCAGGCTCAGGCTGTGAAATTACTGGACAGCACAGCCTGCTTCTCCTTTTTCTTCCCCACCTGCCACCACACATCCCCAGTTCTGGCACAGTCCATTCCCCATTAATTCTCTTTGTCTTCTGAAAACTGCCTTCTCTGCTCCTCCCCTTTCTGCTAGCCCTGGGACACTCCACCATCTCTTCCCTGGTCTTCCTCCCTCAACTCATCACTGCAGAACCCTGCTTTCCATTCAGCCCTGGAGAGCAGCAGCTCTGCACTGGGTTCCTCTACTTGGCCATTTTTCGAACACCCTTCTTATTTTCTTTAAAGAACGATGTAACCAGTGCCCTAGCATTTCTCTCCTGATCTCAGTGACAATTTCTTACTCCGTTTTCTTCTTGAAATCTTTCCTGTGTATTCATCCTTCATTGTATTTTCAAGTCCACTATTCTGCCAGTCAGTTCTGCCTTTTGCCCAGTCTGCCAGATTCCTGGCCAATTTCCTATCATTAGAATGTTTCCAGGCCACAGGATGCACACAGGGCTGTCTGTAAGAGAGTGAAGAGCTGAGTCATCTTGCCCAGTCCCCTTCAGGAGAGGCCTTCCCTCACTGATCTCCAACTGTGTGGGAAAGAGCTTCAGATTTGTCTGGAAAACCCATCAACCTGAAAGGGAATATTCGCAGCTGAAGCCCTGATTAGGGTCCCTGTCCATGAAGGCAGGGTGTGTCCCTGGTTAGATTTAATAACTGATTATCCATATATAAAAGGAAGTTAAGCAGAGGTCACAGGTTCCCAGAGAAGGGGCCCTGAAGGGTCCAGGGCCTGGGAGAAGAGCAAGTCCCTGCTCACCTGAGGAACCCTGCTGGCTGTCTTCTCCTCCAACTCTTATTTCCTGGTGAGTTCTCCAGACAATAGGATGGGAGCGCCTTGTCTCACAGGGAGATTATCCCTCTCTCTCTTGGAATTTGTGCCATCACAGCAGCATCTATGGTCTCTAACTTGTGTTGTTTCAACAGGGACTTCTCCACTCTTCCTGCTTTGCAATTAGGGAACCAGTTCCTTTGTCTTGAATCTAGGTTATGATCTTAGTTTCCTCTTCCATGATTTTGAATCTTGCTACTACCAACAACCAATAACTAGAGGTTATAAATTTAAATGACTCATCATTGAAATGGAAATGAATTCATTTATATCTCTAATCCTTTTTACTCGCCAGGGTGAGATAGGAATATTGCAAGTTCTAGGCCTTCCTAAGCAATTTATCAGGGTCTTCAGCAACTTAGGGAGACCCTCTCTCAAAAGAAAAGTACAAAAACTTAGTTGGGTTGTGGTTCTATAGTAAAACTCTGTTGTGTGCAATCCCCAGTACCAAATGCCAAATACAACAGGCTCTTCTGATTCAAGTGGTAGATTTTTATGTTCAGAATCATAAAACAATTTCACACAGTTCTCCTTTTTCCATACGCTGCATTATTATGAATGAAATGGATGATGAATATCTTGCAACGCTGGGTTTTGTGTTGTAATCTAATTGGAGGATATTGTATTCTCCGTGTATATCACTGACATAGGTTTATATTGCTTTCTCACTTACTGTGGGTTTAAAGCTATTGTCATGTACTCTAGATTTGGTCTTTGCATTTTTGCCTGCTTTGCTAGAATATAAAAGGCAATGGGGAAGAACCCCCTCAGTCTATGTCCACTGCATATCCCCAGCATTGGGAAGAAGCCTTATCCCATCCCTGAGGCTGAGAATGAAAAGGTCTGTTTCATGGTTTAGATATGAGGTTCCCAATGGATTATGTGAAAGAATGCATGAAACTTTATTGGTGAGAGATTGGCTTGTGATAACTTTCATCTAATCAGTGCCTGAAAGCCTTAAAGGGATTAACTGGGTGGTGACTGAAGGCAGGTAGGAAGTGGCTGAGTGTGGTATCCCACTGATGGTGGGCCTTTGGGTTTGTGTTTTGTCTCTGGTGATTGACGTTTTCCATTTGGTTTCTTGCCTTTATGACCTGTACAGTTTTCGTTTTAGTTTTCTCTACATTTTTTAATTGTTGTATTATATTTGTGCATGTGGATGGGATTTGTTGTTCCACACCTGTCCTGCACACAGTAAGACAACATAAAGTGGCCAACATCACTCCCCAGCATTTTCCTACTCCCCTGGCTCCTCCCATCCTTTGCTCCTTTCCTTTACTGATCTTTATTTGATTTTTAGGAGATCCACACCCACCCTTACTTTCCTTTTTCCTCTCTAGCTTCCACATATTAAAGAAAATATACTACTCCTATCTCTCTTAGTTTGACTTATTTCCCTTGACAGGAGGGTCTCTTGTTCCATCCATTTCCCTGCAAATAACAGAGTTTCATTATTCTTTCTGACTAAATAAAACTCCACTATGTACAGATACCACATTTTCTGTGTGAGTTCATCTGTTGATGGACACTGAGGCTGGTTCCATAGTCTAGCTAGTGTGAATTGTGCTGCCATAAACATGGGTATGCATTTGTCACCACAGTACAATTACTTTAATTCTTCAGGGCACATACTGAAAAGTTTTATAGCTGGGTCATATGGTGGTTCCATGCCTAGTCTTGAGACTCCTCCCTACTGATTTCCATTGTGGATAGACTCATTGACAGTCTCACGAACAGTGTAAAAGTGTTCCATTTTATCCACGTCCTCTCTCGAATTAATTTTTATTTCTGTTTTTGAAGATTGCCATTTTGACTGGTATGAGATGAGATCCCTGTTTAGTTTTGATTTGCTTTTCTCTAATTGCTAAGGCTGTTGAACCTTTTTTTATGTATTAGATGGCCATTTCTATTTCTCCTTTTGAGAAGTGTCTGTTCAGTTTAATTGCCCATTTAGAAGGTGGGTTTCTGATTGTTTTATGTTTTAGCATTTTCTGAGATCTTTATACATTGTAGATGTAAATCCCCAGTCAGAATAATAGCTAGCCAAGCTGTTTTCCTTTCTGTCGATTCTCTCTTCACATTCCCAATTGTGACCTTTGCTGTGCAGAAGCATTTTAATTTAATGTCATCCCATTTATTAACTCTTGGCATTAGTTCCAGAGTTTTAGGGCTCCTATTGAGGAAGTCATTCGTGTGCCTAAAAAGTGGTGGATTGACCATGAATTTTCTTTTAGAAATTACATGATTTTAAATCTATGTCCAAGGTGTTTGGTCCATTGTGATTGAATTTTTTGTAGGGTGAGAGATAAGTGTCTAGCTTCATTCTCCTCATGTGGAATAACCAGTTGAACTAGCACCACTTTTTAAATAGGGGTGTTTTATCCAATGTGTGCTTTGACAACATTGTCAAGGATCAGGTGACTGTAGATATATGGTTTTGTCTCTGTTTCTTTCATCCTGTACTCTTGGTCTCTCTGTCTGTATTCAAACCAGTACCATGTGGTTGTTGTTTTTATTCAACTGGTTTCTTTTGCCATATTGTTCCCCCATGATATTCTGCCTGACTCTGGACCAGGGCTGTGGAGTCAGCTGTCTATGGACCGAGTTCTCTGCAACTTCCAGTCAAGTAAACTTTTCCCCCTCTATATTGTTCTTGCCAGCCCTATTGGTCAGAGGGATGAAAAAGGTTATGAAAACCCTATTTTAGTAGCTTTACTTTTTGGTTGTAGGTTTGAATTGAAAGGAAAAGAACAGTGTATTTCTCATGGAGATCAGTTGTATTTGAAGACAATCTTTGCAGAATGTAGTTTTGAGTGCAGGGAAAAAAAAAGGTCCCTAACACTGCAACCAGGAACTAAATCCATGTTGAAATATCCTGGGAGGACTGGGAATTCCCAAGGCTGCCACCTAGTGGTGAGGAATGCCCTCAAACACTACCTTGATAGTGGGGATACAGAATGGCTCTTCCCTAGTGTCTTCCTAAGGGACCCGGAGGGAGGGGACAAGTTGTACCAATACCCTTGCTGACATCACAGTGATGTGTCACTACTCCTGCTATGGCACATGGATCAGTGTAACTTTGCCTACACGAGTGACTAATTGGGAATCACTAGGCTAATTATTAGTTTCTTTGAAACTGCTCTGCAGCTAGGTTGTTGTTTTCTGAAAGCTAACTCTATGGTGTTTAAAGAGGAAAATTCAATAGAGATAATTGGGTGGACCTATTGCAATATGATCAGTAGCTTTACAATAGAAAGAGTTTATAAAGAGATGTGAGCAGGGAAGACCATATAGAGACACAGGGAGACAGTAATATACAAGGGAGGAAAGCAAGTCTAAGAAGAAACAGACCCTGCAGACATGTTGATATCACAACCCTAGACTCTAGCATCTTGACCAGTGCTGCCAAATACTAGGTTTCAGTAAGGGGTGATGGGAGATTGGAAGAAATCAAGAGCAATACTTGCAGATCTTGAAGATAAAACAGCTGTGGTCGGATGGAGCGCTGCTCTCTGATGGAGAATTACACCAGCAATCTTTATTATATATGTCTCTGAATCAGATTAAGGGATATGCAACAGTATGCAGCTGTTTCCTCAGTTACAATCTATGGTTGCAATGTGCAAAGTTAGGAGCATTGTGCAGCTCTCAAGAAAGCCCATTGTTTAAAGTTACTAATTTGCAGGCAGACTCAGGAGCATCAGAACTGGTGAAACATTGTTGTTATTTTAGCAAGGAAGTGCCTTCATTCCCAGGAGCTGCTGGGCCTGAGATTAAGGTGGAGGCTGATAAGACTCTAGCATGGAGGACATCTCCACAGCAACAAGGCATGCTATGCCTTTGCACAGAGGTTTCCCCAATCACCAAGTTTGCCACAGCCATGAAGTCATCAGGGACCACAATCTCAGACACTGCTCTCTCAGTCACTGTCCCACTCTCCACAAATCAGTTTGTTTTTAAAGACACCCTGTCTCTATATTATTGTTACGAAAGCCCTACAACCATTCAAAATTGGTGAAATAATACAATATTCTTAGTCCAAGGTGTAGTAATCTTTTGAAAATCAGGACGAAATTAGAAGGTGATTTGTCAACAATTTTGGAGAAGAAAAATTATTGTGGATCATGAAATTATAGATTACTTACACACACACATAAGTTTCTACAACTTTGGAAGCCAATGGGAGCAGGACTTTTGAGATTAGACATGGATGGACACCATAGTCAAGTCTTCTCTGGTGCAATTGAGGAAAAGGACATATAAGCATTTTGCTGCTACAGGGGCTTGGTGACAAGATGTGGAAAACGGTGTACAGATGACCAGATTAGGTTGATGGGTGTGTCTCCAAATGAGTAAGAATGTAATAAATTGAGCAAAGAAAAATAGGATTGTGTTTGGGAGGTGTGGTTAATGCATTAGAGGATCATGAATGGTAGAATCTGCGAAAGGAGAGTGGTCTTTGAGAAATGAGAAAGAAGACCATGCAATCACATGGTAGGGCTTGTGCTCTTTAACATCAGAGGTACTATTCCAGATCAACTTAGAGGTTGTGTTGGTGTCTTCAAAGACATTGAGCTCAGGTCATAGAAAAATCAAAACAAACAAACAAACAAAAAACAACAACAAAAAAGGAAAAGCATTGCTATATATTTTCTACTGGGATAAATTTATCATATTATGAACACCTTGTAAATCTTTGTTTGTCATTGTTTAAATTATGAATTATTCTACTGTCAACTGGGTTGATAATAACCAAATATGTGAAAATTTGTAAGCACAGTCTCACTTAATGAATTATTGGTGATTTTTTTTTTATTTAGTTTATTTGATTTTCATTGTGATTGAACTCAGGGATTTCAGACCAGGAAGCTACATACCCACCACTCTATTATTTATTTATTTATTTACTTATTTATTATTTTTCAATAGCAGAGATTGAACACAGGATTGAACCACTGAGTCCCTTCCCCAGCCCCAGCCCATTTTGTATTTTTTTGTATTTTGAGACAAAATCTCACTTAGAAGCTTAGCTCCTTGCAACCTCATGATTCCTTTCTTCATCCACAGATTTTTCCTGAATACAGTTTGAACTTTGAGAGAAGAAGAAGATAGCAAAATGCAAAATCAATGGGTATGAATTTACATTTGAGCAGTGAATGGCTTTTCTATTGAAATTTCCCCCCTATTGACAGAGATGCCAAGTCTTCAGTGTAAGCAGGAGTTAGTCCTGTACCTCACAACTCTGCAGTTGTCACCATGGGTCAGGAACTCATCAGCAGGCAGCTGATCTTTCAGCTGTTAGGACACCACTATACCATGGTACCATTCCTGGCTGTGTACTTCCAGAAGGAATGGGAGATATTGAATCTCACTTTCTGCCTGTGACTCCATTTGAAATAATTGATGATGAATGATGCTATTTATTGCAATGATGTTTGGATTCTGGTGAATGTATTCCAGATAACTAAGTGAGGAGTAGAACATCACAGCCCAACATGGAGGCAGATTTTCCAGCAGTTGGATTCTGTTGACCCAGTTCCACAGCCATTGGAGTGATACTGAGAAAACATAAAAAATGTAGGCTAAAGAAGGCAAGAGAAAAAAATTATTTATTTTTTTCCAATTTTAAACTTAAAATATCATGGAATAAGTCTCAACCTTTTGAGAAGTCCCCCCAAATGCCTAAAATTATCATGATCATTTTTATTCCCAGTGTTGCTACAACTTACTAGTAAACCATTTCTTCATATCTCATACTGGAGATTATTTACACCAACCTATGCTAACTTCATTGATGTTGTGTCATTAAAACATACTAGTAAATAACATAGTAGTAGATAGAGGAAATTTTTTAAAGAACTGGATACATGAAAACTAATAAAAAAAAAAAACAGAAACACAAGATCAAGATACCAGAGAGCTATGCAAAATATTCTTTGGAGCTCAAGAGAGAAGTGAGAATGAGAGTTGTAGTATACGGAAGTATAGGGATGTTTGCTGGGACCCTGCTTCAGAATACAAGTCTCAGAGACTGTCTTGTGCTGCTGAAATATCTGTCCTTGACCTTTTTCTCACCTCCATGGTCACATCCTGAGAAGAGTGAATATTCCTGCTGATACCAAGATACATGTAGTTTGTTCAGTTCCCAAAAATTCTGGAGATTGGTTCAAGAATGTCTGCATTGTTCTGGTTATAGGGTTATAGTTCAAACATGTTGTGAAGATAAGAAGAAATTCATCAACCTTTTAAATATTCACATTACTAACCATTTTACCTGTGAGGGATCTAAGATACCTCTCTGTGAAAATGACTATTTTATACATAATCATTTTTCAAGACTGACAAAGTTTACTTAAACAATTGGGGATTTAAATGTTAGTTAAAATGTTTCAAGTAAAAATTTTATAATAACCTGTTTGAAAATTATTATTCCAAGTCCTTAAAAGTTTTGCACATATCATTCCATATTCCTGTACTATAAATTCTATGAATTCAATGCATTGATGTTCTGGGTTTCTGAAAGTAAGAATTTTGGGTGTTGGGAATAAATAGGCTGGTGCTTTAACAGTTTGATCTCCCTGCACACCTAGATTCCCCTCTGCCTCATTCTGTCCTCTCAACCCTTCTTTTGTGAAACTGATCTCATTGGTCTTTCTAAACTAGCTTGACTATACTCTTCTAGGAATTGATGACCATTGAAGATGTAAGCATAAGTTTCACCCAAGAAGGGTGGGCCATGCTGGACCCATCTCAGAAAATCTACACTGGTCAGTGATGCTGGAAATTGTTAATCATCTAGTATCAGTTGGTGAGTCCATCAATGTTATGTATGAAAGATGTGAGGGTATACATATAATTTCAATCAACAGTATCCAGGATAGACTCTCTCTATTCAATTCCAGTCTCTGTTCTGATTCTTTTAGACATTTTAATTACATACAAGAAAGATGTTTTTTAAAAAAATTGCATTACACATCATTTTACATGACACTACAATGTGGTCAGCACCATAATTTTATGTATTTATTGCAACTAAATCTCCTGAATAAATGATTTGAAAACCATAAATAGACGTAATATTTATAAATAAGTATTCTTATATGGTCATTGTGCTTGAGGATTGAATACCAAAACTAGAAAATTCTGAATATTTTTGTGTGCTTATTTGGATTCCATTTGAAAGTAATATTTAGTGGAGAGATGAAGTGCCTGAAAGGACTGCTGATTCAGCATTCTTTGAATGTCATTCTGAGGATGGGTGTCCTTCAATCCTCCCTGGTATGGGAACTTTCTATCTTTTATTCTACTGCAGTTAGGGAACTTCAATATTTTCTCTGCTAAATGGTTTCTCCCACTGCCTTGGTTCTCTGAACTGCTGCTAAGTCATCTTCATGGCCCTGATGATAATGCACATTTCTTGGCAGAAACCCTAAAATCTAATTCCCTTCTTTCCCATAAATAGGGTATATGTTCTGTAAATCAGAAGGGACTTTGCATCTGGAGCAAGAAGAAATTCTGTGGATGGTAGAAGGGACAGGGTTTCTCCCAAGCCAGAGTGCAATAGGAAACAGAGAATTTTGTGATTCAGTAGAGGTGGGTGCCCAGTCAGTGACTGAGCTTGGAAATATTAAGTGACGTATTTATGAAAAGTACGTTGTTGTCTAAAACATAGTGGGGAATAATGGGACTAATTTCTCACATATTGACCTAGATATTTTATTTTACATTCAAAATGTTTCCTCTATAATTATATATTTATTGAGGGCAAAACATGTTACTGATTTTTTTTCAGGTCAATTTCTATGAATTCTTTTCCAAATTTCTCCTTTAAATTTTTTTCTCCATTTCATTAAAAAAAAGTAATTCTATCCATATATCTTTTATAATTACCAGTGTTCTATTTTTCTAAGATAGACAGTTTTTCTTGACTTAAGCCATTTCCTCCTGAAAAGTGTTAATTATGAACAAAATTCTCATGAGATTGTTGATACTCAACTGTGTCTGTCTCTGAATTTCATGCTACCAAATCATATTTCCAACTATTCTAGGGATGGAAATTACAAATCAAAAACATGAAATGATATGCAGAGCACTTTTGAACAGGAAGGACACACCCATCAACATGTCAATGATGAGTTTCAGGGATGGGAACACTAATTATGTAAATTTAAGACCTGTCAGTGGAATAAATTAGTAATTGAGTACAATTTCATGGCTGTAATTATGTTGCCATTACATAATTTCTGAGTCCAAAGATCTGTATAGTTTTCATTCTGTGAGAAATTAACAAGATTCCAAAATAACAAGCATTTATCAAGAAGCAAATCTTTGAAATATTGAAGACCATAAAGTTAATCTGAGCCCCTTTAAATAAAATACTAGCAAATGGAAAATACTTGTCTCTCCAGGAATTATGTGCAATGTGTTTTGGGGTTAAAAGCAAAAAGATTTTTTTCTTATTATAATTGTTTGTTCTATAATTCTTTTGTAGAAAAATTAATTTGTAAGTTTATATGGAGACATCATTAAGAAATGTTCATCTTCTTTACAAAGCAGAAATCTCATGTTCAAGAGGATTTCTCTGGATGGAAAGACTTGGAAGAAGATCTGCATCACAACACTGCATGCATTCAATCTCTGTTTACTCACCCAGAAAAGAACCAGTGGGTCAACAAACACTGTGGAGGATCCCTTGCTGATCATTTGTATCCAGATGAAAACAAGAAAAATTATTGTATCTCATGTGAAGGGCAGGAATGTTTGAAAGGACATAGGTATTTTTTATGACCCAGAAAATGCAATAAGAATGACCCTGGAGAGATACAATATGAATGTCATCTATGTAGCAAACACTTAAATCAAACTTCTGATCTCAGGAGAATCAATGAAACTAAAATAGGAGAAATGATGTGTGAATGTAATTTTTGTGAGAAAGTCCTTAGGAACTGTTCTGAGCTTAGACAACATGAGAGAACCAAAACTGGTGAGAAGAAAATGAATGCCATGTGTGTGGGAAAGCCTTCAGGAAGTCTTACAACCTTAAAATGCATGAGAAAGGCCATACTGGAGAGAAACCATACAGATGCCATTGGTGTGGGAAAGCCTTTTGTAAATTATACAACATTCAAATGCATGAGAAAACTCACACAGGAGAGAAACATATGAATGCCGTGTGTGTGGGAAAGCCTTCAGCAAATCAGTTCATCTTAGACATCATCAGATAATCCACACAGGAGAGAGACCATACCAATGTCAATTGTGTGGAAAATCCTTTGGTCTATCATGCTGCCTTAGAATACATGATAGAATCCACACCAGAGAAAAATGATATCAATGCCAATTTTGTGGGAAATCCTTTGGTCAATCATGCCACCTTAAAATACAGGAAAGAATCCACACTGGAGAGAAACCATATCAATGACAAATTTGTGGGAAACCCTTTGGTCATTTGTGCTACCTTAAAACACACCAGAGTATCCACACTGGTGAGAAACCATATGAATGCCCTGTGTGTAGGAAATCCTTCAATCAAGCAAGCCACCTGAGACTGCATCAAAGAACACACACTGGAGGGAAACCCTACCAGTGCCACGTGTGTGGGAAATCCTTCAGTCAATCGTGTTACCATAAACCACACCAGAAAATCCACACTGGTGAGAAACCATATGAATGCCCTGTGTGTGGGAAAGTCTTCAGTCTATCATCTGGCCTTAGACACCCTGAGAAAACACATATTGAAGAAAAACATTCAAATGTCACCTGTGTGGAAAAGCTTTCAGTACACTCTCTTCTGAGATGGCATGATAAAATACATACTGGAGAGAAACCATACAAATGCCCTGTGTGTTGGAAAACTTTCAGCTGATCCACTGTCCTTAGAGTTCATGAGAGAACACACACTGGAGCAAAATAACATGCATGCCACCTGTGTGGCATAGTCCTTGACCATCACCTTACCATTAAAAAAATCAAAGAAGAGTCACCTTGGAGAGTGGTCACTGGAATGTAGCCTGTGTGGAAAGGCCTCTCTTTAAGACCCTAACCTTAGAAAACAGGAGCCAGCTCAATAAAGAGAAACCCCATGTGTGGCATCTATGTGGAAAAGGCTTCAGTCAATCTTATTGCATGAGAAAATGCACATGAAATCAATTGTGGGAATGTCAGCTGTTTGAGATGTCTTGCCAATGTTCTGCATGTAGGAACCCATGATGGAGACAAACTTGAGTTCCTGTAACATATATTCTAACCTGGTATTGCAAGATATAAAAACTAAAATTTTTGACTTCTATTTCACATATTTCTGCTCCTACTCTTATTTTTTCTTTCCTACTTACCTAATTTCAAAATAAACTGATTGCTGACCTAGTTTATTACTGATGAAAGTATTTTAAGTCATAAATGTTTGTCTGTGTACTCTTTTATCCCTCAGATTCTGAAATTGAAAGATTTCTCAGTTAACTTAGTTCAAAGCACTTTTTATTTACTTCTCTTTTGCCTTTTTCCTTGCCATTTCATGTTGAAGGACTTGACATGGGTGATGGGTTCAAGGGGATTGATTTCTAATATAATAACCCATGCAGGAAACACAGTCTTCCTGGTTTAAATTATTTAAATGGGTAATGGAAATGCTTAAAATTTGAATGATAAGATTGTACTCATTACATACATGTCAAAACTGATAAAATTGCATTCATCCAATATATGCATTTGATTGTTCTTCAACTTTACCTCAATAAACCTATTTTTAAAAATGTGAAGGAACCTTCAACTCTACATGTGAAATCTAAGTATGAGCACCCCCAAATTGATGAATCACCATTAATCAGTTTGAAAAAAAATTTTAAGTAATTTTAATCCTCTCTTGACAAAAACAAGTTCCTGGAAAATAAGCCATGTGAATAAAATTTGTTTTCAAAAGCCCTAGTAAGTGATCTTTCTTAAATTGCATGAATATTATAACCCCTGTCAAGAAAAGAATGTAGTAGTCTATGATCTTAATTCTCAGCTTTTAATATACCAGAGTGTGTGACAGGAAAGTCATATTGACACTATTCAGGTCCTAGACAGGGTTTCCTCAATCCTGTGTAATTTCAGACCTAACCCCACCCCCTTGTATTCTTCATGAACTTCTTGAGCTTCATTCACATTGGTTCCCTTGTGTCCACTGGTGGGACTTTTGAGAATAATCCCATAAACACAAAAAAAGTATTTTCAAGGATTTTACTTTCAAGTTTTATGTGCTCTCATCTCTCCATTTAATCTGGTATTCCAAAGAGGGGGGGTATGAATGATTAAATTTACATTAATAAGTTACAGTTGTATTCTTGTTACTCAGATCAACAATGATTACAAGTAGAATAAGACAGTTTTAATCTGAGAGACATAATGAAACAAAGAGTGTGGTAGGCAAATTGTTTCCTTTAATGATATTTTCCCCATGTTCTTTGAACAAGAAAATAAATTTTAATTTGTGCTGGAATTTGTGAAATATGCCAGAAACTTAGTGGCAAAACCAATAAAATCCATTAAGTCACAAATTAATAGATCAGAAGTCCAAGTCAGAGCAGGTTGGATCCTCTGGAAGCCTCTCACAGGACCTCATGCAGGTGCTGCCTGCATCATGATCTCCGTGGGGCCTGTTGATCCGCTCTCTCTCAGTCTTTGGTGTGGGTGAAGTTTACTTGATGCTGTGGTGCTGTGGACCTGAATTTTGACACCCTGATTTTTGTTTCCTTTCATATGTCTCCTTATATTCTGTGGAAATTTACAGACTTGGTGTGTGTTTGTGTTTGTTGCAGTGTTTGATTCTTTGGGCTGGCTAGACAAGCACTATACCACTGCACTGAATCCCAGGCCCACAGTTGCTTCTTCTGTGCCTGAAGGAGACCTGTTCAGAGTTTGGTTCTGTCTGCAATCCTCCTATCACAAGTAAGAGATTCCTGTTACACCACTCAGCTTTTCAGGTTCTCTCAGGTGCCTTCCCTTTGATTAGCTCACAGTGCCTGTAATTGCATGAGCAAACTACCCCGCCCCATTGCCAGTTTTAGTGGCTGTGAACAAAATATATGACAAGAACAACTTATAGAACAAACATTTTGTTTTGGACTCAGTTTTAGAGTTTCAATCCATGGCCACCTGACTGCAATGCTTTAGGCCTGAGGTGAGGCAGAACATCCTGGCACAAGGGCATGAGAGAGAAAAGACTCTCTAATGGCAACCAGGAGCAGAGAGAATGAGGATCCAGGGATGAGGTGCTCATTCCCCAAGGGCATTAGGGGACTATTTCCTCAAGCTCTGGCCCATCTTCCAACAGTTTCCATCCAGTAGCCCATTCACATTATTGGCCAATCAATTTACTGATCAGGTCACATCAATCTCTCCTAATGTAATCATCTCACCTCCAAAATTTTGGAACATTTCTAGATTTTAATATGACACTTTGAGGGAGACCTCATCTCCAAGCCATAGTCATGAAAGAGAGCAGGGTGAGGACAATGATGGTGACTGAGAGCCACAGGCAGGCACACCAGACAGGAGAGCACCTCAAAGATGAAGCCTTG